CAACTCCATAGCACAGCCGAGGTATAGCATGAGTGTGCACATCAGGCACACTGGGGAAGGCTCGAGTCGCCAAGGTCAGGACTTTGTCGGCCCATTGATGAAGTGACTCTCCAGGATTCTGGCTGGCAGACTGGAAGTTTAGTTGATGAGTGAGATCGGGAGCAGAGGAGCCAAAACACTTTTCAAATCTTTGCAAGATCTCGCCCAGGCGGAGCTGGCTACTGGTTTCTAACAGCAGGGTATAATACTCGCTTGCTGCCCCTTCAAGGGAAAAACAGAACTGGTCATGCTGCTCCTCCTCAGTCCACAGCTGACTGCGAGACAACCTCACAAACTTATGCAAAAATGCCTTCCAGCTGGTCTTACCATCGTACCTAAGGTCCTTGTACCTGGGCTTTCTCCCAGCAGCTGCCCTACTAGTGTTCTGTGCAGGTGTATTAAAGCTGCTATCCTGGTGGGCCGGGACAGGCTGACTAGCATAGTGTCCCAGCTTGGCTGTATCATGCACATGTGCTATCCTCTCCCCCTCCCTTCCAAAATGGCAGGTTGGGGTATCCAGATAGGCAGGACTACAAGTCAATGACATGGGGACACTATGATGCTGTGATGCATTGGGCATAGTGATACCTAGGTGTGAGGTCTGAACATCCTCACCTCTGTACCATGGGGATTGGGTGTGATCGGGCAGTGGGGGTTGGGCATGTCCACCCCCAGTATTCACCAAGTCTTGGACTAAAATAGTGTGTGGCATTGAGGTCCGGGGTTGAAAATCATCCCCAGGAAGCGAGGACACACTAAAGTCCGCGGGTCTAGGCTGGGTTTGTACAGACAAAGGGTTCCAGGTGAGCCTTAAAGGGTCAACAGGCCTCAGATCATACACAGAAGTGAGCGGTGCAGGCCTCACAGGCTGTTGATTGGCAAACAGTGTATGTGGCGGAGGGGAGGGGTCAAGCGAGTGGGGTTTACCCTCACCAAAGCTTGGTCTAACTCCTATGTCCCCCAGGTTAGCTGTGTCTCCCACAAGGACAGGTTGGCTGCTAGCTGAGAGCACATGACCTACAGAATACTGGTGTTCTAAACCTAAACTCAAGGGAACCTCACTGTATTCATACCTAGGTGGGCTACAACACACAGTGCTGCCAGGTGAGCAACACCAACACAAGCTACCTAAAGAGGACTCCAGGGAATCACTGGTCATCATCCCTGGTGAGCTACATTGGGGCTGGGCAAACCTGAACTCTCTCCTTGACATACCATGTA